GGTTTGGAGCCCATCCAAGGTCACATAGCAAAGTGGGGGAGGTACCTTTGCCCTCATTGAGGCTCTTGAGAAAAGGCTTGAGCTTCTTCTCATACAGAATGGCTCCCTCTGTGTGTCGCTGCCGCAGGGTCACCCAGGTCTGCTCCAGCCGGGAAATCTGGAGAGATTAGACTGTGAGAGACCAACCAGGGAAGGGGCCTACAGGGGCCACTGGCCTCAATCCACCCCACTGAGTGGACATGCAGATGTGAGATAATAATTGTTATTATGGCCACCAGTCAGGTACCAAGGGCAAGCTGACTGCTTTGCATATTTCTCTCATGAAACCCTCACACAAGCCACTTTACAGATGTGGGAACTTAGGCTCAGCAAGGGGAACGACTAGCCTGAGGTCATTCTGAAAATAAGTAGCAGAGCTGGGAGTGGGGCCCAGGACACTGCTCAGTGACCCTGCTGTCCTATGCATTAGGCATAGCAGAGGCAGTGCAGTGTGCGTAAGGCTCAGGGTCTGAAGTCAGCCAGACCTGGTTCAAACCCTAATTCTTTCAGCCTCTGACTGTGTGACTTTAGGCAAGTACTGCTCTGTCTCATTTACTCCATTTGTAAAGTGGGGACAGTAAAGGCACCCACCTCATGAGACTATTTCGAGGAATCAGTGCTGTTAAAGTGCTTAGCGTAGCACCTACCTAGCATATAGTCAGTGCCCACTGAGTGATAGTCATTTTACTTTTATTCTTTAAACTCATATAATGCTCCTCATTCATTTTACAAGTGGGGAGACTGAGGCCCAGAAAAGGGGAAGGACTTGGTCTTCGAGCACGGTCAGCACTGGGAGAACTCAGTTCTCCAGCTTAACTCTTTTGCCAGTGCAGCCTAGAAACTCACAGAGCTCTTCCCCGGTTCGATACACAGTCAAGTCAGAAGCACACACGCCAGGGCTCTTCCGGACAGTCTACCGGACGCCCGCTCTCCGCCGGCCCCTCCGTACCTGGGCCATGTCCAGGGCGCCCATGACCGCAGCGAAGCTGAACATGTTGCCCATGGTGCCCCGCAGCTCGGCCGCCAGCTGGATGGTCTTGTGCAGCAGCGCTGCCCTCTCCTCGGCGGAGCCCGTGCAGCCCAGGATGTCCACGGCCAGCATGATGGACATGGTGTGGAACCTGCCGGGACAGACGGGGGCGCCGCCAAGGGCCGGCGGGGGTGGGGGGGAGGTGTAAAGAGTCGAAGAGCCCAGGGGGCGCGGCCGGAGGGCTGGAAAACGAGGCTAACGGCTTCTGATTGGCCAGAAGAAGTTAGGGGCGGGACCAGAGCCCCCCCCCTCCCACACACACACACTCGAGCGCCAGGCTCGGAGGAGGTCCCCGGGCAGAGCTGTTTTCAGAATGAACCAAGAGCCCAGAACCGGCGGGCGGGGCCCAGGCTGACAAGTGGGCGGTCGGTCCAGGGGATGCACAAGGCGAATCCCGAGATGGAGAACTCAGTGTTTGGGAAAGCAGGATCGCTCGGAGCTGGCTACCGAGAGGCCAACGGGACGGGAAGCGCGGCCAGAACCCCTGGGAGCCGCGCCGAGGCTGGGATTGGCCACCCGGCCACGGCCGAGGGAGCGAGGCAGCCCGGGGCTCCTGCGCGTGCCGGTGCTTTACCTTTCCAGCAGGTCCAGCCGCAGCTGCCGGCCATGGGGCAGGGTGAGCAGCTCCATACCCCAGCGGACTCCCATTAGGGCCTGCATCTCCTTGGTAACGCCCAGTATCCTAGCAACCTGCAAGGACGCGCACAGGGCTGATTAATTTCCTGTCAGGGCCGGCCCAAGCCATCTGGGAGTCAGAGAGCTTTACCTAAGAGGGTAGCCTGGCTCGGATGCCGAGTTTGAATCCCAGCTCCACCGCTAACCCTCTGACCTGGAGCACGGGATTCTACCTCTGAGTGAGCCTGTGAAATGGGGGATAGATGAGGAAATACCCCGAGGTGCCTGGCATGTTAATATGTAGTTAAGATTAAGGAGCAGGACACCCTTATTCCAAACAGCAAACCTGAAACCCAGGGTGGAAAAGGGCTTGCCCAAGGTCACACACTAGACCTAGAACGGAGTTCCTCCTTTCCCGCCCAGTGCTCTTCCGAGTAGCGTCTCTGCCTGGTCTCTTTTCTTGCTTCCTGAGCTGTGAGACCAGTGTAACCAGGTAATGAATTCCTCCCAAACTACAAAGGGAGAAACTGAGGCATAGAGAGAACTGGGATCCTTAGACGGTCAGAGACTCATACAAAGCAAAGGCCCAGGCATTGACAATTTGTGGGCCGAGGTAATGGTCTTTGGTTATTTGTCCACTAGGGGGAAGGGGCAGGCAGTCAGGCCTCTTCCATTCCCGGACCAGCCCGCTTACTTTGACCAGGCTCATTCTGGGACACTCGGGAAGTGCCCCCAAGTGCCTCAGGAAGCCAGACACCACCGGTTTAAGGACTGCCTGGTTCCAGTGCCAAACTGAAATCTGGAGGAAGCAAGAATATCTTGTTTTTTGCTTTTTAAAAGGAGAAAGTGAAAGTCCAGAGAGGGAAAATGACTAGCCCAGAGTCGAAGAGCAGGTAAAGGGCAGCCACGGAGCCAGCACCAAGGCCCACCAGCAACGCTTGAGAAATCTGGGAGCCAGCCCTAACCACCCTGACTCCTGTCCAAAAGCTACTGGACAGAGGTGCTGCCCCCACCCCTGTGTGTCCCCAGCACCTACCAGGCAGTCAACCTTAGTGACATGCCGGGCCAGCGTCCGGGCATCCGCCTCCGCCAGCAGCTCCTTGACCTTGCGCAGAAGACCAACCTCCAGCGGCCGGTTATCCTTGGGGATTAGTAGTGACTGGAAGGTGGCTGGGTTGAAGGAAGAGGTAGCTTCCACAACGGGGACTGTGAAGGCCTTGCCCCAGTCCCCCTCAGGGACCCCATTTTCTGACAGGTCCTTTAGCCTCTCCCCATAGCTCCTAGCCTGCCGGCTGGAGGCTTCAGCCGCTGTCCACTCTCGGCTGCCACGGACGGGAGGCTGGAGCTGGCAGTAATGGCCAGAGTCCTGGTCACTGTAGCTGCTGACCGATGGAGACGGGGAAGTCTTGCAGAGGCTGTGGGAGGGGCTGGTGTGAGGGCCTTTATCCGACTCGCCAGGGGGCTTTGGGGCACTTCCGGGACACAGCTGGGGCTCACTGGAGCGGCGGGTCACAGGGGAGGCAGGCAGTGCTGTGGCAGAGGGGGCTGCGGGGGCGGCGTGGACACGGGTTACTGCAGGGAGGTAGAGAGAGAGGACTAGTTACCACAGGTCCCCATCCAGTGAGGTTCCCTCACCCCTCCCCAAAAGACAGGCCCATCCATTCTGCGCAGGCGACATCCCCACCCACCTCATGGCTGGAGGCCAGGCTCAGCAGACTCTGGCAAACAGAGTGGATGACCTCCGTGGGAGATACTCAAATCACCTGGACCCCACAGTTTGCATGCCCCTACCCTGAGGCTGCTGCAGCCCTGGGAAACCACTGAACTACTTTTAGTGATCCAGGGAAGCTGAATGCTTGCTGGAGTTCATTGTGCCACGTGGAACTGTTTCTCAATGAGCTAGTAATCATGATTTATTGGGCACACGTTGTGTGCCAGGCGCTAGCAACATACTGGGGATACACTGGTCAACAACAGTAAAACCGTCATCAAGAATCAGAGGTGATATTTATTGAGCTCTTACTGCCTACAAGATCCTTCTTTGCACATTAGTCCATTTAGCCCTCTTGACATCCTGTGAAATAAGTACTTTTATGATCCTCATTCTGCAGATGAGAAGACTGAGCCTTAGAGAGAAACCGACCTGCCCAAGTCACCTAGACAGCAAGTGGTAGAGCTGGTATTTAAGTCCTGGCTTCTGGGCCACTGTACTATGCCATATTGTCTAGAAATTGTCCAATAAATCATTTCTGGGAAATAGCTTTAACTTTTATACTCAGGAGCATTGTTTTTTTTTTTGTTTGTTTGTTTGTTTG